CTTCACCGTCCACAAATGCAGTGTTGGGAAGTACTTTAAGTACATCATACTTTACCTAAAGTAGATATCCTCAGTATGCACTTGTGCTTTATTTCAAGCATCTTTTTCTGGTACTTTCCGAGGAAAGCACAACTCCCGACCTAAAAGTACATTCCCCAAATTTTATCTCGTCAATTTTGCGTCGCAAAATGATGATTTGTCAACAAATGAGTGCCTTATAAATTGATCGTGTGAAATAGTTTGCCAGCCGGAGTAAAACTACTATTCTGTGGCCACTTTATGCAATATTTGCCACCATTTCGAAAAATAACTGATGCACCCCAAAGCAATGCATACCACTAAAAAAAAAATTGTATATGGGAATGAGAGGGCATCATGAAAGATTGTGTTAAAAAGTACCTGTACTTTACGTTGAAAGCACATTGAATTTATATTACCTTACTTTGAGTACAATGTACCCGGGGTACTTACTACCTGAAGTACATAAACTCCAATTTACTTTGTACTTCAAGTACTTTTTAGATGTGCTTTACCGAACACTGCACAAATGCCTACAAATTTTGCGAAAACTTTCGAGAAAACCCATTGAAGAAGCGATGTGGTGCAGACGAGGTTTGTGCGGCGCAAGTCCGCACGGTGGATCACGTGAAGCCCTTTATCCCACGCGGGTGTTGAAGGCTGCCTGCCCTCGCCGAAGTTTCAGTTTTGCTTTGGCATCATACGTGCCTGTTTCATCGTCATATTTTTCGTGTCAGATTTTAAACTGAAGATATATTTGCATACATCAAGCAGACCTACAAATCTCCTCGATAAGGATGGCTGTGACGATTTTGTCATTTCTACGCCACAGTTCATAAGTATCGCTACCTAAAATGAACTTAACTGAGCTTAGCAGCGGACAAGTGGAAGGTTGGGAACGACCTCCACAAATTGAGCTGAATTTTTGCATGGTAAGCCTAAGCTCATTACAACAGACATTCGGATAAAACATGCCAATTTGTGAAGTTCAGCTTGTTTTCCTTTACGTACCATTGACTCCAGTTCATATCTGCATACAACATACTCTTTTTACAATATACATGAAATATAAATATATGTAAAAAAAACAACATAAAAACCCAAAATAATTTTTTTTTTTTTTGCGAAATAATACAAAACTTTTTATTTACGAACCAGACACAGAGGACATAATCGGGGCCACTAAACTTCGCGAATTCCAGACGCCTGCATTGAAACTCTTAAGGATCGAAACTTTCGCGTGCCCCTAGATGTTGTTATGCCCCGACGGGCATAACAAAATTGTTTGCATATTCCGCGTACCTCGCAAAATAACTTACTGTCACCTTGCGAAAAGTGCGAAACGCGGAGTCCGCACTGTGCCGACTTCCCAATCTTTTACCTGCTTTAGAGCAGTTTGTACCTGCTAGTAGGTACATATGCCTACTGAATCTGCAACTTGAAACTGGGGGCAGTGCCACAGAAAAAAGACAGAGTTGGGAAAGCTTGGTCGCCCTCCCCAATTTCTAAACTCTCAAGTGATTGTGCCATAATAAATGCACCAATGCCTCTTCCCAAAATAAAAAAAAAGCACTATGTTCACTACGTAAAAAATTGTCTCAGTTCATGCATCTGTGGGCAAGTAGGAAATCTTGCCCAAATTTATTCACACCGCATGCTGAGCGCAACAAACTTGCACGAGATTTACAGGAAAATATCGGTGGTGCCCCAAGTTTCCCCGATATTCTGTATAACCAATCGTTTGCAGGACCGAATCATCTACTCAAGCGGTGCGCGTTGTTGTGCAAACACGTCGCTGTGCAAACGCAGTCTAAAAACAGGAAGCATAAAAACGGCAGATCTAGGAAAGCAATCCAGAATCAATTGTTCAATTTAAACGACGTAATTTTGTTAAAAACGCCCCGCAGCTTTTTACTCACGGTATGCGTCGGCAATGTTCCACGTTTTGAAACGAATTGAAGGAAGATTTACTTTTGAAAGCGCTCGCTGCCACAGCTCGCTGCGCCTTCCCGGACCAGCTGGACCGGATCAGCTGATGACGACGGGACTGAACCCGTTGAACCTCGACCCCACAACAACCAATTTGGGCTCCATGTTAGTGCGGGTTTCTACTTCCAAGCCCCGCATCACACACCAGGAACGTTTAAGTTCTTTGTTGCATCGAGGTGTTGCAGCAAACAGAACGAGATCACCGAAGTCAACGCAGCACTGTCGTGAACCTTGGCGCACTTGTGGACCCTGTGACTCCCTTCGCTTTCCAAGCACACACAACGATTACGAATGATACTTTCCGTCTCCCGGAAACATCACAGGGGCACTTCTCAGGTCAAGTCTTCGCTACATGTGCTCGCAAACCGCGGAGCTTCTTGCGTCCCGTCAAACCAAAACAATACCGGCGCCATGTTGAACATGCGTTGCTGCCAGATTTCCTCCGACCAAACAAAAACAACGAAAGCAAACCGGCTCTTGCTTCCAGCGTATATCGGCAGCACCTTCCCCCCGTTCCCCCTTTCCCGATCCGCGGCGTTCGACAAGAAGGACAAGAAGCACCCGAAGTCGAGGCGCTGCGTACTCCGCAGCCAAGTCAATCCAAGAGCAAATCCAAGAGTGAGGGGCGGGGCGTACTTCTCTGCGCAGGTCGAAAGAGTGGGAGCTTCAAATGTGGAGAGGTGACTCCGACTGAATTACGTCCTGAGGCGTATAATTAGCTAAAAAAATTTTGTTTTCTCGGAAGGTTTGTTTTGCGATATGCTTGTCCCAAGTAGGCTGTTTAAAAAAAACACATTTTTTCCTTTGCAGTTACCCTTTAAGGGTTTTACAGTACAGCCACTTTTTGACTCGAATCTCCACTTAAAAAGCACCAATAAAAAGCACTACATCATTTGCTTCGTAAAAAATGGGATATAGTATATCATTAAATCTCAATTTAAACATGAGCAGATATCAAAACCAAAGCTTTGGCTCAGTCTGGCAACATTCACCTTGGGCCGCCTAAAACATGGCTATCACGTGGTACGAGATGTCACATGATCCACTACGCAACGACTGGTGAGATTGGGGCGGCGGACGGGCCACCGTTGGAGAGGGCTTGTGCCAGGCGCAAGTGTCGTCTGCACCGCACTTTTCTTTACGTTTTGGTGTCTACGACATTTGATGGCGTCTGTACAACTGCGGAATCAGTCTGTGCGCGTAGTGAGAACGAAACTCGAAAGACAATCATCACAAATGGTAAGATGATGGCGGTTGTGACGCGGGAAACGGCCGGTGGGACGTCCGGACGGCTCCCAAGAAGCGCACTGCGCAGGCGCGTTACACCAATCACGTGGACACTGCTCAGCGCCGAGAGGAAACGTTGCCAACGTCACGCTTGCCCGGAGAAATAAAAACGAACAAAAAGGGGTAATGGTGATGACGTCTAGCTCAATGTTGGCTACACCAAAGCCGTAGCCTCGACTGCGCTGTTGGTTGTGCCTCAATTCACCCGCTCGAGTCAGCCAATTTCGGCAACCTGGCGAGTTACTCCGTTTGCCGGACCGTTTAAGGAACATCTAGACCAGGGGTCTCAAACACGCAGCCCGTGGACCGCATGTGGCCCGTGATTCGCTGGGACGCGGCCCGCAGGCAACCGGCTACGAGTTGCGGTTCCCATGTCTCGAGCGCTAGAAAAAGCATGCGGCTTCGTGATCTCTTCTCGCCGATTCATTTTCGCTCCAAAAGTAGCTCTGCTCTTTCAATGCATTCCCATAGTTTATACTTATCTGTGTTTATTTGTCCTCTGTTTCGCCTTATTTTTTGCTTCCCAGCTTCTTTTGTAATGTACAACTGTTCCGCTACCAGGCCGCAAGCGCGAGCTTTTCGTTGAAGGGTGCATCTCGGCTTCGCGAACTTTTGATCAGCCGGAGCAACAGCCAAAAATAAAGCTACAAGCTCGGGGTCCTCGCCTTCAGAAAATGTCACAATTAAAAGACAAGTATTTGCTCAGAGTGTTGTAATAAAATTCGTGAGGAAAGCAAAAACTGCCAAATTAACCAATTGTCTTTTTTTAGAAATTTGTTTAGAGCTGGGGAACGACAGTGTACATCTTCCCTCGTTCCATAAAAAATGGCAGCACGTTGGCGGGGCGGTGTCATTTTAATTCTAGTTACCACATCACGGCAGGGCCCAGACTAGTCATAAAACACACGAAAGCGAGATACCTCACTGGCAAAACTGCGATTTTACAAAAAGCATAGGGAGCGAGGTCTCTTCTATACAAAAGTTTATGCCCCCCCCCCCCCCCCCCCTTCCTGTCTTATGCTGGCTCGCGACCTTTCCGGTGTGGGCTATTTGGCCCCCACACTGGAATGAGTCTGAGACCACTGATTTAGACGGAACTAAGTCGTAACATTTGACGTGTGGCCTTCCTAGGTGATACTGGAGACGACAACATGGTTTTTTCAAAGCCAAAAACTATGTGGGATTGCCCTTTGATGATGATGGGCTGTCTCCAATCTCTACAAGAGGTGCTTCCTTCGCAATTCAGTTGCCAATCGATTTTACGCGAGAGAGAAGACTGTGGCCGGCAAGGCATAGGAACGGGATGAGGAGCACACTAGAATCGCACAACTCCCGCTTCCAGACAAGAGACACAGATTTCTTACCTTTTTAAGCAAAATATACCCATAATGTGTTTAGGGATGCGTTTGAAAACCTTTATACGACAAGAACGCTCGTTCCAAAGCTGACGTTCAGGACGCGATACGCTCGTAACACTGCCGAGTAACCTGCGGCATCTGGCGGCAAGGGGGTGTCATTTCGGGCCCTCTTTTTACGGTCGGTCCGGATACAACCATGTTCCGTCGTACCGCGCAATTTTTCGGTTTTCTCGGTGTCGCTATAAGTGGGCCGAAAATTTTGTCTGTTGTAGGGTTGACTCCGCTGCCTGCACCACATTCGTCGCAAATTTCTGGAAACCCGAAAACGAAAACAAATGAGGCACCCACCTTGACGTCGTTTGACAGGTCGTGAGCACCTATCCGCAGCTTGTCCTGGTCTGCGCTTTCCTTCTCCGGTGATGGTTCCTGAAAGAAACAAAGAACAAACACAAGATGTCAAGACGAGCAATTCCAACACTTCTATCGTTCTGTCCAAAGCCCACGCTCAAAGCATCCCAAATTTGATGCGAATAATCGGAACACTTTTTCGGGACATTGACTGGAAAATTGCCGTCTCCCTAAACGGAAGCTATGCTCAGGGGTTGTTCCCAAGTATCAAAATGTCAACAATGCCAAGGTCACTGGTGCTTTTGTAACTTCTTAGCGTTAATGTATGCCGAGATGCGCCGTCTTGAGCCGAGGAGCCGCAGCCAGCGCTTTCATTTCGATCCCAACTAAACGCCAAAAGAGATTGAAAGGCTAAATTACGATAACAAAAGGGGGACATGGAAGACAAACAGACAACACAGGCGCGTTGTCTGTATTCCATGTCCCTCTTTTGTTTTCGCAATGCAGACGCCAAGACGCCCAACTGTGCACACTGAAAGGCTCGGTGCTTTGATACGCATAGTTTGACAAACTGAGGCAATGACTAAAGTGCTTCTCTGCGAGTGACGCTTGGTTTACTTGTCCGCCGAAAACCCACCAACACCACATTTTCTTGAAAAACATTGGTCAACCTTTTTGTGATCGAAGCTTGCACATACACTCTGCTGCGACAACTACGGAAAGTCACAAAACGAAATTGCAAGGAACGATGGACCATTCTCGGCGAATGATACAAACATATTTTGTTTAATTTTGGTACTCAATGTTTACATGTATGCAAAATCGTCGCAATGTATGAAAGAAGCCTACCAAATGACGAGGCACAAAAAACGATGGGACTCGGAAATCAAATGTGTGCGGATAATAGTTATCAGCCCTTGTTTTATCATGCTTGGTATTCCAGTGTGGGTCATGTTTTAGAGCGGCAGGTGTTAATGGCCCGTCTCCTAGTTTTGTGACGGCGTGAGCGTAAACGAAAAGGTTCCCTGCTAAATTTAGCCGAAAAATTGACGTCACGTGACCTATGCACCAATTCAGTTTCCCCGCTAAAATTTGGCGGGAAAACACATCACGACCTTAAATTCATTAATTCATCAACAATTTATCAACGCTAAATCAATGTATTATTTTAATATTAGATCGCCACATGATGCACGATAAACACAATGTAAATTGATCGTCATCGCCATCTCGTTGAATAAGCACCACAGCTGACGCTATCTAAACGCATCACGTGCGATCGTCGTGGAAATGTTTTCAAACCAAATGTTACCTCACTATATTCCCTGGGCATATTTCGTGTCCAATGATTGACAACTGGCATAATGGCTGGCTCAAATGCCCAATGGCAGGCCTAACACGACCTCCACACCCAATGACTGGCCTCCAAGCCCAACAATTTGTTGGTGATTGGCCTATGAACCAATGATGAGCATACCAGCTAGCCACCAGCCGTACTGGCCAAGTCCTTTCACAAATTTCGGTGCCATCTGTCTGCGAGGGTGCGTTGTGACCCCGTAGGGGAGGGCGGGGAGACTCACCTGGGATCCCTCTCCTTCCAGGTAGACCACGCCCGTGGACCTCCGCTTGGGCCTCCTCCGCCTCTGCACAGCTGAATTTGTCCTTGAGTCGTCCTTGTCCGCGTCGCTTCCTGCACAAGGAGTCAACGGAGATCGTGAACGGCCGGAATGGAGTTCTTGGCCAAGTGGGCCGTTCATCCTCGCCACAATAACAAAAGATCTTAAAAGTGACACTCCATGCTTCATCTGACCTGCACTGAATAAATAGTAAAACCAGCAACTAAAATAGAAAAAAAAAAAAGTGAGAGCCGTTTACAACTCCCTGTAATGCCGAATTAGAGCGCAGCTCTTGAAAAGGAGGAGGGAAGGGAGGGGGGGTCAACTGAACGGGGGGGGTCACGTGACGATGACAATGCCGATGACGTCATCAGTGACGTCAATGATGACATCATCAGTGACGTCAATGATGACGTCATCAGTGACGATGACGATGCGGATACCGATGACGTCATTAGTGACGTCACTGATGACATCATCAGTGATGATGACGATGCGGATGTTGGCGACGTCATCAGTGATGATGACGATGACGGTGCGGATGCCGGTGACGTCATCAGTGACGTCACTGATGATGTCATCAGTGATGATTACGATGACGATGCAGATGCCGGTGACGTCATCAGTGACGACGACGTCATCAGGGGGGGGTCACGTGACCTCGAGAAGGGGGTCACGTGACCTCAGGGGAGGGGGTCACGTGACCACCTTGGGGAGGGGGGGAGTCACGTGACCTCGAGAGAGGGGGGGGGGGGGGTCACGTGCCCCCCTCCCCCCGAGGTCACTTGACCCCGGGAGGGCTCGCGCGGTGCATTACGGGACATTTCCCATAATGCACTGCACGGTTACGCCGACGGCGCCGCCGCTCAAACCGGAAACGAGCGCCCAAGAGCTGCGCGCTAAAAAAAAAAAGAGAGCAGGTAGATTTTTGGTGGACAAGTGCCAAATCAACTAAGGAATAAGAATTAATTCCTGCCACCCAAGACTTTTATGATCCGGAACCAGCAGTCTAATAAAACGATGCAAATGAACTAGCGTCACACAAATTAAAAATTTTCTAACGGTGGTCACGAAAAATAAGAATTTTCATATCCACTTCTGAATGAACAGCAAATTCATACTTTTTGAGGTGTTGTCAAAGCCAAAGTAGCAACCACCTCGTGTCTGTAAACTTAGCCCTAAAAATCGGTATGGCCCAATTTCGTTTTTGTCTAAAACACAAACTCCCATAATCAACAAAAAAAAAAAAGAAGGTTATTAACACAAACTGATTTGGTTTGAAGTGCAAGACTCATGTTTCAGTGGGTTTTGGATAAAACCTGAAATCTATGTAACCCTGCCATCACCTACCATAAAATACCGAGCGTTCGCCCATTCCACAATAGGCACCCGCCCCTCAATTTCGTAACATTGAGAAAATATACAAAAGCCATATTTTAGATATCACTGACATATGCAGCACCCATCCCCAAGTTTTACAAGACCACCTACAAACTTTGACGGGGCGTTTGCTTGTGGGATACGGTACGTCCCCGGGAAGAATGAGGGTCCAGCTGTTCAAAACAAAAATTTCCAGGAAAAAGGAAGTTTTCCTCTAACATGTGTTACTAGGGGTGCGCGAATACCGAATAGTAGTTTTCGAATTGAATATCGAATAGTGATTTTATTTGCAGGAATTTTTCAAAATGTGCTCCGAATGAGATTATTATATGTGCAGAGTATGCGCCCGGTGCAGAACATGCATCTTGTACGGAACAAAACAAGGAGGTTAGAAGTACTAGGAGGGGGCACGTTGCAATATTGGTGAAGCCTAGTCATAAAAAGTTGAAACGATTTTGTGCCCAGCGTGACCGCAGATCTCTCTGGCGATTGGTGCGTGTGACATGTCACGTGTGAGATGGATGGTTGATTGTAGAAGGACTCCTTGCAGGCTTGCGCGCGCTCCGTCAGGTAGGTTTTATCAGATTGAAGGCTAGACGAAGGCTAGCTACGGTCACGTGATGTGGTCACGTTGGCGTGGTAAGTGAGGAGAGTAAGGAGGAAGATGAGAAAGAGGCGAGGCGTCAAGGGAGCATGGCTCGTGGAGGCTACGCGGCTGGCGTCATGCCCTCTCCTACCCTTCTATCCTCCCTGGAACAAAAGATAAAACTTATAAAAAGTGCTGGTGAACAAAAAAAGAAAAAAGCAGCTGCTGTTGGACGTTGGGTACTAAAGATCCAATTTTATGGTGCAAACAATCTATATACCCTAAACGTCACAAAAAAACCAAAGTTACAGGCAAGCGTGCCTTTTATTCTTGTTAAAAGCACAACCTAACACCGTGACTTTTTAAAAAATATTTGTAGATCTCAGAAAAGGGGCATTTTGCGATATTTGGTCTCCATTTTAAGGAAGAAAAAGGGCACCCGGGATTTTATTTCACATACATAAACAGATAGGTGTTAAATGTGAGTAAACAGGCTTAAACAATATAATCTGAAGTAAGAAAAAAAAACAAACTTGGTTAGGTGGCGCAAGTCACTGTCCAACTGCCGCTATGTCCATTTACGTATCTATCCTGGTTTAGAGAGCCTTGATTTATAAGAGGGAGCAAACGAACCTGAAACCACGGAGACGGCTGCAGCGCAGATTGGTCGTAAGTGCACATGTGTTGGGTTGTCGCGTGGAAAGAAGGCGAGCAAACAGAAGAGCGACGACGCCTGTCCTGCCCGATCGACACTTTCGTCTTTTCGTCACCTTCTTGCAGTTTGTAATTCAAACGCAGCTATCGAACGGTTGGAATCCCTCTCAAATCTGGGCACACTATTTTTCCGTTCCATTTAGTTTAGAATCAGAATTTGCAGCTTGCGGTTCCAAAAGAACGACGACGACAACTCGGCTGGAGGAACAGCTTTCTTTCTGTGATTGTGCAGTCGCCGATTTCTGCGAGTGCGGCAAGTGTGTTCTACATTGGCGCTTCAATTTGAAACAAGGGGCTTTACTCGTGAAAAGAATTAGGCATGGCGTGGAATTCCGGCTTCCCAACAATTTTTCTCTGGAAGTGGCGCCAACGGAATTTTTCGGTTGTGATTCAAGGGTAGATTGGGCGCGTTCAGTAGCGGCCCCGGAGTCAAGGAGTCACCGACTCCTTCCGCTGGATGGCCAAAAGTCACTTCCGGTGCACGTAACTCGGGGGCTTCGGAGTCACAATCCGAAGCACCGAGTCCGGAGACGGTGCACATAGATTTAAAGGAGCTAAAGATGACGTCATTTCCCGACTGGTGAGATTTCCGGCGAGAAAATCCAGAGCTCCGACTCGAGTCACTTTGTTCGGAGGCAAGGGAGGCGCTACTGGACACGCCCATTGTGTCACTATGGTGAGTAAATCTGCGTGCTATAAAGTTTGTGGCGTTCATTACTTTTTTTTTTTTTTTCTAACCTGTCCGTTAGATTTTTGTGCAATGTTGGGACCAAGAGGTGTTTCTCGCATGGTCTGTCTATCATCACGGCGCTTACATCGGGAGAAAAAACGGCTTTTTTGTCAGCTCCACGCCGACCGCGCGTCTTTGGCCGAATATACTGAATATTCGAGTGTCCGAATACTAGGAATTCGATTCGCAAATCAAATTATTCGGGAACTTTCTATTCGAATTGAATTCGTATCTTCGAGTATGCGCACCTATGTGTTACGTCTCTTCTTACACAAAATTGAACTTTTAATGAACGATTCGAGCGTGCAACTGTTCCAGCGTGTACCACCTAGCCGGAAAGCTTTTCCTTGCGCTCATGCCAGCGGCAGCTTCAACGGCGGTCCACTCCCCACGTGAAACGGGAGTAAAGCCACCCCGAGCGGTCGGACTCGCGCTCACCGTCTCGTAGGGAGAGGTCGTCCAGAGCCGACCGAGGGCGTATGGGCACGGTGACCGTGTGGCTGACGTCGCCAGAGCCGGTAACGGTCGCCCTCTGAACCCTGGCTCTCGCCGGCATAGAAAGGGTCACCACGGGTGTGCCATCCGGACTGCTGGGCACCACGCGCACCGCCGGCACCTCCTCTTCCTGCTGCGGGCAGAGAAAGGAGCGGTTAGTGCAAACGCTCCACGGATGAGCCCCGAAAAGAATGAGTCGACACCTACGCAATGTCGGGCCCAACGTTCTGCAATGTCCGAACAGGCTCTAACGACTCTGAAGCGGTTCAAACTTCCATACTGAACTGTACCCAAATTATGGACGCGAACCTTGGCAATCATTCGGACAAAAGGCGTCTTTACCATTTGCCGGAATCAAGCTCTACACAATCGGCCGAGAAGCACGCGGCAAAGGGCATGCAGCAACGGGGCGGCATTTGGGCTTTCGCACTTCGTCCATTCCACTTTGAGAAGGGGAGGCGACTAGGACGATTTTCTGCCTCGCAGAAGGCTGGGCCCATACCAGTACCGTTTCACTATTTTCTTTCGTATCGAGTGACCCGTTATCACAACAACTATAAGGGTCGAAGTGTTCGTCCCGAGTACCAGCTGTAACGTCTGGCACCCCACACCACCCGGTTCGAGCGAAACGCCAAAAGGCGCCGACCCGTGGGCGAGGCAGCCCCGACACACCTTGTCCCTGTTCCTCCAAGAGAGCCGCCGGCCGAGTTCCTCCGACAGGGCGGTGGTCGTCGCGGCAGAGGACGGAGCAGACGTGGTGGTCGTCGCGGTCGTCGTTGCCACGGCAGCGGCCGCCGAAGAAGGGGGCTTCTCCTGCCTGCCCTCGTCCCGCTCCTGCTGCTTCTTCTGCAGCTGCTGTTCGGCAGACTTCAGGTCTTCCAGCATCACACCCTACGAAAACGAGAGACACACACCTGCAGCTTGAGAAAAAAAAATTGCTCGGTTTCGAAGAGACTTCCAAGATCGTGTCTTGGCGGCATGCTACCGTGACGCAACGAGACTAGGAACACGTGTTCGTACTCAGAAGCCTCCCTCACGCACCTGAGTTGAGCGCCTGGTCTCCCGCACCCTCTTGGCGTGCGCTTTCCGCTGCGTCTCGGACTCTTCGTCCCGCACCGGCATCACAAACGTCCTGGAGGGAAAAGAGCTCGCAATGGGATGACGCACCAAAAAACTCTCGGACATACACCAAAGAGTTCTTTGCTTGACTTAGGCTGCAGGCAACGAGCACCCCAGAGATGATGCGAGGATGCTCAAGGTGGGGCACGAGGATCAACTTGCAGATAATGGCAAAAAAAGATGTTCTTCAGAAAGTCAATTATTTCACATCTAGGGGCCCTTTTCTTAGTGATCTGCAATTACTTTTTTGCTGGTGACTATTTTTAAGTACTATAGATAATAACTTACACCAGACCAGAAAGTCAAATATTACTTTAGAGACCGTTTCTTGGAGCCATAGTTCTTCCATCCTGTTTTGTTTGTGGAGCTGGTATCTTGGCAACCATTTGGACTATCTTTTTCCTCCTCCTCCTCTCTCCCCAAAAAAAGAGCAAGTCTGTGTTCTTCCAACACGTGCAACATTTCACACAATCAATCCACCAAAACACGTCTCCTACACCAATTTCAGTGAAAGCAATGAACCCACTGCAAACTGGCTGAAAGCAAATCTCCTTCAACATGCCATTCCACAATGCCGCAGCCACCGCTGTCGAAAAATGACTGCATCTCTACGTGGTGAATGATGTTGATTGGGGCGAAGCTCTGGTGGTGCTTGTCTGCGTTGACGCTGAGCCACAGCATGCCGAGCATTTCGTTCGTTTTCATCCATGTCAGAAAGACAATGTGTGGTATGGAACGTGGTTATATACACATTTGAGCATTTGATCGCAGCGCCCTCTCGTCTATAAACGTTGAGCCAATGCATCATGCAAAGTTTAACACGATTATGTACGCATTTGGCCGCAGGGCCCTCTCCTGTATAGACGTTGAGCGGCTACGTGCAACGTTTCGTCCATGACAGCTCTTGAGTTACTACCCCATCTCAGAGCCCCCTACTCGTCCCGCAGTCGTGGCCGAGTGGTTAAGGCCATGGACTAGAAATCCATTGGGGTCTCCCCGCACAGGTTTGAATCCTGTCGACTGCGCAAACATTTTTTTTTTTCCCTACACGAGCACAATCACCAGCACGAGCACCAGCAAGGTCGATGTAAGCACGGACGCCGGACGGACAAGGCTAGACCCTAAGGAGCTTCGCCCCTAATAGCAGCACACTTTATGTTGTCGTTTGCCATTTTTAGGGGCAAAGCTCCTTAGAGTCTAGTCTTGTCCGGCGTCCGTGCTCACATCGACTGCACTGCCTCCGGGATCGGCCCACTCTTAAAAAAAAAAACGTACGCCCACACGGGGGTTCGAGCTCAGGACCGCTCGCTTACGAGGCAGACGTCTTAACCACTACACTACACTCAAACGTTGCATGTAGCCACTAAAGGCCCGTTCACACTCTTGCGACCGAGTACGACTGAGACAGACGAGATCTCTTAAAACTTCTTGTGGCGCCATCTATGTGGTGACCTTGGAACTGCATTTCACAAGAGCGAAGGTTTTGCGGGATTTCCGAGGTCAAATGTGCGTAATACCCATAGAAAGGCTCGTTTATAACATTGACAAAAGTTTTTCGAGCCAAAAAAGAAAGGATAATGCGCGAGAAATAAAAAAAAAACAATGCCGGACCGCCAATTTACACTGCTTCCCAATAGATGGCGCCAGTGTGTTCTCTGGTTTAAGAAGTTTAAAGGAACCCAGGTTTAAGAGGTCGCAAGAGTGTGAACGGGCCTTTAACGTCTATACAGGAGAGGGTGCTGCGGTCAAATGCGGATATAATCGCGTTAAACTTTCCATGCATTGGCTCAATGTTTATAGACGAGAGGGCGCTGTGGTCAAATGCTCAAATGCGTATATAACCACGTTCCATACCACACATTCTCTTTCTAACATGAACCGTTGACTTAAGCGGTGGAGATGCGTTCCCACGGCTTCTAGCGGATCCAAGCTGATCCGCGAGAAGAACCACTGGCTCTGCATTTCACCGACCATAAAGCAGTAATAATGAAGTCAAACACAACTCAGCACTACCTATGAGCAATAAAAAGAAATCAGCACCATCATCACTACCTATGAACAAGCAAATCAGTATGAACATCACCAGCAGAGCTTTGCCCCAATCAACATCATTCACCACATGGAGATACGGTCATTTTTAATTATACTTTTTGAGCTAAACTTTATATTGAGACATTCTTATTTTCACGAGTTCATTTCTGCATTAACTTATCACGTGGTCTTTCACATGCGAGCCATTTGTGCCCCTCCAAACAAGGCAACAAAGAATGCAAACTAAAAATAATTATGCGAGAAATTAAAAAAAGAAATGCCACCATGTCACATTGTGTAACATACATCCAGGAATGCCGCTCAAGTCTATCGTGCCTTCTATCATATTTTCTAAACTCTGCAGGCTCTCCACCAGGTTCAAAGCATAAAAGTGTTGTAAAGAAAGAGCAAGTGAGACATGACTTTCACTATTTTGGTTGCTTCACCATAAGAGGCATTAGTACCACCACCTACTGCGATATTCCCAGAGATGCGCCCACCCACAAAAGATAACCCACCCCCTATTTTTAGCACGATTTGCTATTTTTTTCAAAAAACACGAAAATGTAGCCCACATCCAGTAACTGCAGGGCCCAGGCCAATGGTGACCTTGGCAGAAATGGTGTTAGTCAGCCAAGAAGGGAGATGAGCCAACATGGCTGACTGCGAAGGGCAGCAGTCTTTGGTTCATTGCCCCTCCCTGCAATCACAAGTTTCGCACGTCGCAAAATCTAAAAGTAGCATTTGTTTCAACATTTTTTTTGATCGCACACCGAAAGTTAGCCCTCTCCCTATTTTCACCCCAGTTGCTTTCGATTTTAGGTGGACTACCTGTCGGGAACAAAGTTGGACGATTTTTGCGACTTCAACCAGAGAGGACAGTAGAGTGCAATCCGCTCGCAACAATAATGAGAGGACCCGAAATTCGATCGTTACAACCGATCATCGTTGTATCTGGACTAGAAACCGAGCGTTTCTAGCCTAAACACAGACTGTTATAAGAAGTAGATCGTTCTAGCTGGTATCGTCATAAATAGATTGCACTGTATGTGCCTGGCGTATTTCCCTGGCATCCAAAACACCCTTCAACATTGCCAGCACAAGAACTGTGCCTATTTCCCACGAGCTCTCGAGCAGCCGAGGTCAGTCCCCGACCGCAGCCTTGCGGTCAGTCCCCGGAGCGCTTAACACAAAAAAAGCAGACCGGCAGAGTATACACGCCAAAAGTGGCTACCTCTTGAGAGGACCCTGCGAGCTGTTTTCGGAGGGCGTGGTGGTGTCGTCCGCATTCTCCGGTTCCGCATTGACGCGTAGCCTCTTCCTCAAAGTGACGATCTCCGATGGAGGGGAGGGCTCCTTCTTCTGCAAGGTAGAGAGACATTCCGACGCGACAATGAATGCGCCAATGTCTGTACAGAGGAGCATGCGCGTACTAGCTTGTGCCAATGTGTTTTTGCAAGCGGCTGCATGCGTCACCGCACGTCGGCACGTGTCAATGGGTTAGCGAATGGCGACGCCGACGAGCATGTTGACAAACGTCAGTGTTTGTGTGTGCCGATATGTCAACAAGTGGAAACGTATCTCGACGCACGATGTCCGTCACAATGTGGTGGCACGTGTTGATGAGTGTCGGTGCATTTGTGTGTATCCCAATGTTTCGACGACTGTACGCACAAATGTGTGTTGGCGTGTCCTAATGCATCGGCGTATGCATATATGCCAACTCACCGTAATGCGTACGTCCACGCAAATACGTCGACGTGCCACGATATGTCGCGTGAACACATGTGCCGGCACGCACTGTGTGTCAACTCATCTTGACGTGCACCAATGTTTACATTGGTGCAAGACGCACCGGCCCCGCAACCGTTGAGCTACCACGAGCCGGTGGCAAAGCCTACCTTGTCGTCGATGGTGATGGTCGCCACGGCGACCGGCGGTGGGGACGCCGGCGTAATGACCGACTCCCGCTGTGGGTGCGCCACCGTCACCACCGTCTCCACGGGGCACGGCTCCACATTGGGGGCGGGGCTTGGGCGCCGCAGCCTCCGAAGGGCAAGAGTCACCTCCTCCCCCTCCTTCTCCACAGACTGACAAAGGAAACACAAAGCGTGTCTCAACGGTATCTGATAAGCTCGGAGACTCGCAGAACATATTGTGAATGAGCTGGGCACATGCTGTGTACGTGTGTATGTGTGCGTGTGTGACGTCACAAGTCACGAGACTCTGATGTCGTGTACCTAATGTTGGGCTGTCAAGTGACACCATGATGTCAAGACCATAGAAGCAATATGGCTCTTATGAAACAGAAATGACAAAAAAGTAGTTTAAAATTTTTTCTTCTTAATCTATTAGTTGCAAAGAACAAGTGTTGTAAGTACTTCACTGAGGAAGTGCACACTTGTACAGTTACATCAATTCAAAGTTTCATATCCTGGTTGTTTGTAAGCATGCTTTGAAAAGTTCTTCCCATTTTCTCAGAATTTTTTTGGCATAACACAAACCTTTGCCCAGGGTATCACTGAATCTAGAACTGGGACCTGAATACTTTTTTCAGGGTTTAATACCTCATAAATTGGAGAGTGCAACAAGACTACTAGAAAATGTTCTAACCGGCAAAGACTAGTTATTTGTTTCAAATTATCAGGAAAAAATTGCAACTCGTAATAACTTTTTCTAAAACGATGCCAAAATAAAAACAATGGTTTCGTTGCACTCTCAACCGTTCGTAAAATACCCTGACATATGACATACTTTGTGCCACATTTTTTTAGGAAGGGTATAGTAAAAAAAAAGTTGGGCAGAAACATCTGCGATAAAGTTGAGGTTTCCTCGAAAACTACAGTAGATAGAAAAGAAACTGAGGTTACGTTTGTGCTCAGCACAAGAACTCAAGAGTAGCGACAGCTGCGTTCATGACAACCAAAACGACGGAAATGACCAGATCACTGGAACAACCGCGACTCGCTATTGCTTCGGGAAGCTACCTTTCGCGTCTCTTGCTCCGTCACCCTCGGTGAACTCCTGTCCCGGTGACCTTGTCGTTATTGGCACTTCAATCGCTCCGAGTGCAACTGACACAGATGTGCGAACCAGCCTTAACGTGTCGCACTTCTTACAAAACCCAGCCCTACGCCATTTTCCGCGTCCAAAAAAGAATCGCGCCGTGATGATTTCACTCGCAGCTTTTTCATGGTTGAGTCTCGACATTTGCACCCTTCAGAGCCCTTTGCAGTTCCTTCGACTCACCTGTCTCGTTTTGTCCGCGGCGGGAGTGGTGGCATCCGCGGCATTTTCGAGGAAGGCGTTGCTCACCGCCCGGTTCACCTCGTTCTTTCGTGCTGCATCGGAAAGAGTTTGTTCACCGGGAGTATATCTCTTAAATTCTTTGACCTATGTTTAAACATTTTCCTAAACCAATTGTTTAAGAAAGTCAGTAACGACAATGGCACGCCGCCATGCACGAGTCTCTTCGAAGATTAAAAAGAGAAGCCCCAAGAACAAAGACATTCGCAAGGTTAATGTTTGAAGCTGCCGCTCGTAGTTGCTCGATCATCGACTTGAGACCGAAAGGTTGATCTACAAATGAATGTCACATCAATTAACTATTATTTGCAATGTCACGCAATGCAGCATTTATTAAAAGAAATCTTTTTTGACTTTTAATGCTCGTGAGGTTCATTGAACCTCTCACAATTTGGAAAAAAAGCGATGCCCGTACAAAAAAAAAATAAAAAAAAATTTGGCCCAGCATTGCAAGTTGCAGTTGACAAAAGTGTGCCATGTGCACTCACCAACTTGTCTCTCCTCCAGGGAATTGGGAAGCAGACCTATCTCCCTCTCCTCCGACTTCCTCTCCGCTGTTTGGGCAGAAATAGACAAATTGAAGATGCCATCCGACAGCTCTCGTACGGAAACAAACTTATATTTACGAAAAGTAAAAAAAATATTACAGATGAGTGTTTTCGCAAACATAGTGGAATCTCGTTACTTCGAACCGGAGGGGGACCAAAACTTTGTTCGAATAATGCAAAGTTTGAGTTACCGGAAGTTTCCTCGTTAGAAACACATAGGACAAAAGGCCACAGGGGGAAGCCTACTGTCCTGCTGACCGAGCTACGTATGGACCAAGCATGCAGGAACTAGAGGAGCAGAAGCAGGTGGTGTAGAAAGCGCGCAAAATGAAGAGGAGTGAAAAAGGCAGGAAACCGCGCTTCTCCTCTTTTGATGACCCGAAAATGTCAGCGCAAAGGCTTTGAGTCCGGGTGATGCTGAAGGGAAAAGTGCGCAGCGTCGCAAAGAGACAATGGCGTGATGTAATCTGTTTCCATACAAAAACCTTGCCCTAGGCACCACCCACTCCGGGCATTAAAAGGCTAAAGCGCCATTCACACACTTGCAACCGAGTGAGACTGAGAGACAAAAGACCGGTTTGTAAGCCTCTTGCAATGGCAAAGGACCCGCTCTGCAGCAGCGCATCCGGTCCTCCGCCGTCGCAAGAGGCTTAAAAACCGGTCTTGTCACTTTCGGTCTTACTCAGTTGCAAGCGTGTGCACGGCGCTTAAGGGTCATCCTGTCCTATGCACCACCCCAACTAGGGACCAACATGCAGCCAACTTTTTAGAAGGTGATAAAGTTTTAAGTTTGTAATACTAGTGCAGGCTTTTGAAGTGTGGGCGCAATACAAAAAAAACCTGCAGTGGAACTAGTCTGTATAATAGCCTCTTTAGACGGGTGTTGCATGTCAAGAATACACGACATATCAGTTATATGCATACTATAAACAGTTGCCTCCATCTAAGTGACTGCCGCGAGATCGCGACACATGCCCCAACTTGCCATAGACGCCGCACTCCATCTGTTGGCGGCGTAGTATATTTTGCTGGCAGACAGCGTTATTGAGCACGTGGCCTACCGACTTTCAGCCGTTATATCAGCGAAACACAAGATGAGATGTGAATTCTTTCTAAAATGTATGTGTTCCTAAGTTGGCATCATGTAAATTTGGAGCTTGCTGACGAAAAGAATTGCCATGCTCACTTTGTCGCGAATTCGCACCATTCGGCATTCAGCAACAAGGGTTTTGAGTGACTTAAAAAAAATAAAAAGCACTGGTTAGCTCGTAAATTAATTTGAATAAAAAAGTGAGTTATATGGGGTCAACCCTCAAGCTCTTTCTCTAATCTCAGCTGAAAATGAGGAAACTATGCACGCTATGCACTAAGCAGATTTTTTGACCAAGACATCCACGCTGACAGTATAGGACACCGGCTGGCGGTGAATAACACAAGACAGCGGTGCAGGAAACCAGGTTGTAAAGGAACAGACTGCTCTAATGTGCAGGAAATTCAATGTTCATATGTTTTCACGAATTTCCCTAGCTATAAAGCTCGAGCCTGAATGCTTTGTGCACTTTGCTTGTTTGTCCTTAGCGGATCAAGAACACACTGGTTTAATAACTTAGATACTTATTTCAGCAGATTTATCTTTGAGAGAAAATTCAATTCCATGCAGGTGACATAAAAAAAGTTAGTTAATCTGTGGCCTGTTATTGCGAAGTCACGACATACCCTATTTTACGGAATGTCGTTCTCGTCACAAGTGCCGATGTGGCTGTCTTTCTTGGGACGCCACCATTTTTCGTACAATTTATAATTAATTTCAGCGTTATAGGGTTAATGACCGTATTGGCTAAAGATACGGATGCAGCGGGGTAAAGTAAAAGTAGGCTTGCAATACCTGAGGAACTTTGGGCATAGTACGATTGCTAGAAACATCCCAGTACATAGTGAAATAAAAACACAGTTAAAGGTAACACCGGTAGAGATATATATATATATATATATATGAAGGAATATGTGCAGATGAATGAACCATACTTAATCCAATGAATTAAAGAATCCAAGTTTTCAGGAACCCGCCGAAAGCCAAAAAACGGCGGAGCCAGTAAAAATAGGGCAACATCGGTAAAGCTGGCGAAAACCACCGCAAAAAACATCTTCCGCATTCCTTGGCCTCAAGCCTTGGCAACGCCCCAGCAGATTTCTCTTTGTTGCTCTTGTAAACTGCCTTCATGAGAAACTTAAACAGAAAGGGTAGTCCATCAACAATAAGCGAAGCCGTATAAACCTTTTGCGTCTAACCTTGCCGTCCCCAGCCACCTAGTTCACACATTCGGCATGGCCGACGAAAAAAAAAAAGGAGCGAGACTCGGACAAAGTGAAAAAAAAAAATGTATAAGAGGTCAAACAAGAAAGAATGACCGCAGCAATAAAATCGTGACCGCCTTCCAGTTGCGAGGTGAGGGCAAAGTAACGTTTTCCCCCGTACCACAAATCAGGATGGTGACGACTACGCTCAAAAAGAGGATTTAAACAGATGGGAGAGGCTGCACCTTCCTCGTCGACCTTGGAGAGCATCAGGTGGGCCTCGATGGCGTTGCGCTCGGAGGAGGTGTCCTTGACCACGGCGCTGTTCTTGTCCGCCAGGCTCATGCGCGTCACCGACGTCCGCCGCTTGAGCGGCGGCCGCTGGGCCTTGCGCTCCAGGATCTCCTGGATCTCGGGACGCTCCTTCTGCATCTGTTTCCGCCGGCGTCGAAATAAGAACCGAGTGTAATCGACGATTTGACAGTAGTGCGGAGAGATGGTGCACACAAACTACACATAACCGTTCTCCCTCACCATGTAAAATATTTGGCAAAGGCGTGAAGGTTGCATCGACGTACGACGCCACGCTTTGAAATGCCTCTGCGGCGCCTGTTACATCATTCCAACATGGAGAACAAAAAAACAAGGTGATTTAAATTACACCGGTTTTATTAGGCCCATCTAAATCAAATCTTTTCCGCAAAAATAATCCCCAAAATACCTTTTATACCGAAATGCGTGTACACTTTACGAAAACGTGTCTATTTTACATGTGTATTTCGAGATTACAGCAGTATTTTCCGGCCTCCAGAGTAATTTAAGCCCGCAAAACGAAATTTCCGCGGTGCGGAGTGTCCGCAGAGGAGACGCGCCTGCGGGGACCCTCCAGCCGCCCCCACTCACACTGGCCTGCTTCTTCTTGAGCTCCTCGAGGGTGGGCAGCACCTCGGGGTCGGCCAGGTCGAAGCAGGTCTGTCCCACGTGGTTGGGCAGGGCCATGTTGGCCAGGGAGTCGCACAGCAGGCGGCAGGCCCCCTTCTGGCCCCAGTGGGAGGCCGCGTGGAGGGGCGTCCAGCCGTCCCAGTCCTGGGCGTTCAGGTCCACTCCGGCCTGGATCAGTAGCCTGGGGGGACCGCGCCAACAGATCATTTTCAAACTATAGCATTGCTTTTGCCGTGCCACGTGTTGGAATAAGCACATGCTATCAGTCTCTGCCGATTCAATCTGTGCGAAGTGATGAAATTGGCTGGAAAATAACGTGACTGGAAGGTGTTTTTGGAGACGTGGGCCAAATCGCTCCCCCGAAAACTATGTGTTGCTCTGAAAGAAGGTTGGTGCCAAATGCCCATTAAAGTAAATTGTTAGCATTCAGTATAATCAAGTAATTTATTCGTTTAGTAATTAAATATCTTATTATTAACTTTAAAAGTATGGTTTCAAATAAAAACTTGGTGCAAATTGTCCAAAACTACTAAAGCTACCAACCTATATTACGATGATGTAACGCATGCGCGGCATGTTATGGTGTTCCGAAAAATTGCTCAGTTTGGATGAGTTTCCAGGTTTTGGTTTCTCGTCGGAGCGCACCCCCGCGCCAGCAGTCCCACCCCCGTGGCCAAAACGGCGCAATGCGCCCACTCACGTCATGACCTTGAGGTAGCCCTTGGCCGCAGCCACGTGCAGCGAGGTGGCCCCCGTTTTGGGGTGCACCTTGTCCAGCAACCGGCTGCTGTTCAGCATCTGCTTGGCGTCCTCCAGCATCAGCCGCTCCTCCTCGTTGCGTGCCGCCTCGCAGTCCACGCCTGCCGCGGGAGATGGAGGCGGGTTTCGGTCCTACTCTCGGAAAAATGCCAACACTGCGACCGGGTCGCTCACCGGGGGTCCGATTTCGGACGCCGCGAGAACGAGATCTAATTTGCCTCTCGCGAAGCGAGCTGAGATGGTGCTTGCAGACGGTTTGTCTGCCAAAGCGAGCGAAGAGGGCAGTTCGTCTGCTACGAAGCGTCGTTCACAGATGAAAATGAAACGAGAATATACCGTTAATTGTCCGCTAATAAACCCCAAAAAAGAAAAAAAAAGTGGAACGTTTGCTACAAAGCGAATGCCGCGATAGAGAGAGATCGGACGCACGCTGGAATTGTGATCAACTGCTATTTCGCGCTGGAAACCACTGACAGCCCACACTTCTTTTGCAGATCTCAAGTGGTTCTGCTGCCATACACAAGGTGAAATTGAACAGTATATGAAGGAGTGCCAAGGGCAAGGACATCCGATGCCGCAAAGACCTCTCTCGCTCGTTGTCTGTTGCCCACTTGAGAATGGGTAAAACATTTTCAGCTGCTTGACTATCTGCGAGAATGCTGCTCTCACTTTCACTTGGACCGAAATAATAAACTAGGAGACTGAATGGCCGGCACGTGAACGTGCCTGGATGCGACAGGTTTCCGTTCGAGACACCGTGCGGAGAGATGCGGCGATAACTTCGAGACTTTGTATTCAGGAACAGTATTGAGTATTCATTGTGTTTCATGCCCTTTCAGGCCAATAAAACAGCTCATCGGCAATACTGGGCACAGCGCCTGAAAAGGAGGGCTTCGGTTGCAGCGGGTTTGCCTGGCAAAGCTAGCGATATCCCTTGTTTTGACGCGTCTCTAACAGATCTGTCTCCCGCAAGTGATGAGAGTGTCCGGCATTCCCCCTCGTAAAGTATCCGTCGTGGTATTTCGAAAAGACCACCTTGCGATAGGCAGATTGGGCGAATAAAGCAAGCACCGTAAAGTACCGGGGGGAGCGACTGCTCCACTTTCGCTGAAAACCAAGTTATCTAGACATGGGCTCCTGGCCGGTCAAATCGGGTGCTTAACGTATAATTTGCAGAATTCCCAAGTCTGGGAAATGTGAATTGTGGGCGTTTGATCAAAGTGGGCAATTCCGCACTATTTTACGGTAGGCCCGACTTTTGGGGTGCACAATCAAACAACTTCGCCACAATCGCTCAAGCTGGTTCTTTGCCCACTGATGGGCACATAAGCTGTGCCACATGCCACAAACGTCTCTACGTTAAAAAGAAGAAAACAAAAGTTTTTTTTTAAAATGCGGTTAAAAAAAGAAAGTTTATTGTGGCTGAGGGTGAACAAATGCCTTTTGCTAAACGATTAAACATCAAGGAACAGGCCAAGATTTTAGTTCAGCAAGCAGCACGATACGAACTTCATCGGCACAGAATAAAAAAAAAAAGACCTAAACCAAATACATTTTTGTTAATTGTATAGAGAGCTGCAGGAGAGGAGTTATTGACGCCAGCACTTCGTCGGGACATTTTTAAACCATTCCCGAGGCCTAAAAATAGTTTCATTTTGTCACAGCATCTTATCAAAACACACGAAACAAACGACAGAAAAAAGGTATGGGTCCTTGACGTTCCTTCATCAATTCGGAGGAGTCGCTTCCCCTCGGTGTTCAACCGACTCACTGTGAACCTCCGTGAACGAAATCGGGGGAACAGGGGGCTATTTCCGTCCCTTGGAGAAAGTTAGATTTAGCGACGCTTAAAACAAGGGGGTGTCCACGTTAACACGGCGACGGTGCCCCCGAAATAACGTTTTATATAAAAAAAAAAACGTGCATACATCAACCTCCGGCAGCGTCCCGATGCGAAACTTTCGACTGGCTCACTTTCTCTAGACGAGTCTATACGTCGCTACCAATCTACCGGGATTCGCGGACAATTTATTGCGGTAAAAACTGCTTGCACTCAAAACTTACTTAGCTTGTACAAGCATCGCAAAAGATGAGGAAAATAAAATAAAAATAAAGTGTGTCAGTTGGGTTATTAAATTACATTTTTAGTTCCATTGCCACATACCCTGACTGTGCAGAGCTCTTGGTTCCAGATGCGTACGTGGCACAGCGGAGCTAGCACTTACAGGCCGCATTTTTGCGTTTAACTCGTAGCGTTTAGTGTGGAGCAACACATTTTATCATGTAGTGGGCCAGTGCCTGTAACTACCATGTTCCGTTACACCACTAGTTCTAAGGGCAGCCTTTCAGTTGCGAGAGAAATAGAACAAAGACGGTGATTATGTGTCCGCACTAAATTCATTGCGCTCTGTAGACCGAATTAACCCAAACGTGCGCAAAGTCAAGCCTGACCGCAAGTGGCGGGAGTTTCTTCCCGCCCGAGACAACCTTCTCTTCCCTTTCTATGCTTTTAACTAACAAAGCGCCTCCCTGAAAGTGCCTCGGAAATGTGTTCCACTGACTGTAGACAACCTCCCCGTCTCTTCCGCGGGCGATCGAAGCCGGCCCCGACCTTGCGCCCGGATCGAATTCGCCCGCATTTCGTAAACCCTTTCCCAAAGCTCACACGCGCACGAAAACAAAGCAGGAACTCAGAACACAAAACACAAGCCCGCGCTGCCGCATTTGAAGTGCTGCTGGCAAGTGTCTCGCACGCGCGCCGGATTATCAGCGAAGACCCCTCTCTCTACTCGCTATTTCTGGCGGGTTCGTGTCACCCCCCTCCCGTCACGCCCGCAACACACATCCGAGGAGGCGTGGCCCCTATTCCGGAGTCGCGCGTCCCCGGTGCCACCGCAAGGTGGTACCGACAATGGCCGCCCCCTGTTCGTTCTTCGCGTTGAGTTGGGTGTCGCGTCCCTTCCTCTTTCTTTTAACCGCGTGCTTCTTTTCTCGCGACTCTGACAGCGGTGCCTCGAGTGCAGGAAGGGTTTCGACGTGGCCTCGGTGCAAGGTTGGGTGAAGTTCGAGGCGGCGCCGGGATTTGGGCTCGGACCGTTTCCGAGCTGTGGTGCTGACGACGTTGTTGTCTACACCGATAAGCCACCCTCCATTTCACTTTAGGATCGTGCCATGGCGAAGGCTACGAACGCGAGCTCCCCGGACGCACAAACTGCCAAGGCTAGGAGCTCAAACTTCTAGCCCCCGCTGTGCTACGCTTTAAAGCGCGAAACACAGGTACGACGAAACCGTCCGATCCGACGTCCGACCGCGCAATACGACGGTCGGAGGCGAGGGTCCTCAACGCTCTCCGATGCTACGAAAACCCTCTTCCCCCCAAGGTCATTCCGGCAGTCCGCACGTCGGATCGGACGGTTTCGTTGTACATCTGTTTTGCGCTTAAGGCCAGTTCCCACGTGCAATGCCACACAGAGACAATGCAAAGTCGGCATTGCAGGAGCGTCACTGTCAGTGCCGACTCAACACCGAATTAGCTCTGCACCGCATGTGTACGCAGGAAGAGGCACCGATAGAGCGCAAAAAAGGCAGGCCTTTAAGGTGAAACAAAGTATAAATTATATTTTGTTCCAAGGAACGTAAGGCACAAGGTTCAAACCCTAGGCGGTCCCCTTGCTTGTTGCAACCACGAAGCGCTACTCAAACCATTACCGCTGCCCCGCGACGTAAAGCTCCAAAAATGTAAGCGTGTTTTAGAATGAGCCACTTGAAATGGTGCAAAGTGTGGTTACCGGCTAGCGGGGCGCTTATTAATCGAAGCACCGTCTAAGTGTCGGATGCGAAGCGTCTGGTGTTTGTCGAGACGTTGTCGCGTGCGGGAAGTCTAAGAATAAGATGCCCACGTTGAGAAAAATATGGCAAACTGAACTGCCGGTATCCGTGCACTCCAATAAGGCAAGCTTTCTGTATAAGAAGTCGGAGAAGAAACAGTTTCACCGAAAACGTTGCAAAACAGAGCGAAAGTCCACAGTCCGCCCCTCAAGTGCTTTGGGCCTGTACATTGGGGACGGTCATGGCAGCGAAGTTCACATAAATTCGTAGCATGCAATAAAAACAAAAAAAATGCAATAAAAGCATACTAAAAATGCACTTGAGCCATTGAACGCGTATTACAGTATACTCAAAGTGTACTTCCAGTACTAAACTTTCGGTTTCATAAACATAAACCATTAGTATACTTTGAATGTACCGTTTATCCTAATTGCGGAATGACTCGGGAAGCAGCCAGAGCCGTAAAGTGGCAGTGCTCGCATCACTTCCGTTAAAAAAGGAATCGTGCAGGCATAAATAAAAAAAAAGTAAAGAATAAAAATAATCTTTGGATTTATTGCATAGAGTTGGAAGATGTAGAATACATCTCTCAACTTGTTGTTTTACCGTGGGCCAGCAGATGACGCACGTGGTCTATCCAGCTGAGCACACCGTACACTGCTCTGCATCTGACTTCCCCGCTAAATTCAGCGGGGAAGCCGTACCGCATGTTTTTGCTGCCATCGCGCTCTAGACGGCAAAACCGGCCCGAAGGCGCATTCTGCGTTCAAAAGGAGGAGGGGAAGGGGAAGAGAGGGAGGGGACTTGTTCCACTCACCGAGCCGGTCAATCTCGGCCTGCAGGAGTTCCTCCATCTCCCCCGACTCGGCAATGTCAATGGGCAGGTCGCCGTCGTTGTTCACCAGTGCCACGTTGGCCCCATTCTCAATCAGGTACCTGAAAACACGTGCGATCCGACAAGACGGTCATTGAAAACGAGACCCGCCCCTTTCCCCGAGGCACGGCAAAGCAAGCCTTTCGGCGGCGGTAGCGAATGGCTTTAGCTCCAATAAACCGACGCTCCTCTAGCACCGACTTGGAGATACGCAAGAACCACGAAATGGAGGGAAGCTTGCAAAATACGTATGGGCATTCGAGGTACTCCTGCAGTAAAAATATGGATACAGTGTCTACTTGTTTCCTTGTGGCTTAAGAAAACGGACCTGGCAGATATCGAGGCCAACAAATTGTTTGCGCAAATAAACCACTACAAGTATGAAACTGTGTGAACCAGTGACCGTTGAACGAATGAAGGGGGCACGACGGCATTGCGAAAAACTGGGCATCGATCGAGGTCTCGTAACGCTGACAGTGATTTCCATTTAACCTTTTGGAGCAGGTTCTGTAGCAGGCAAAATATTGGTTGGAGCGGCCATTGACGCTTTTGGAGCAGATGCCAACATCTGCTAGCTTAAAAATAAAAGAAAGTGATTGCGTCGCTAAACGAGTTCATCTTTGATAATGGCAGAGGGCTCCTCTTTGATACTGGAACATATTACTTATTACCCATTGCAATATGAATAGAAAGAGTGCAAAAGAAACACAAAGCTTTTTTTTTTTTTTTCAAAAATAGGGCCCTGGTCAGAGCAGCTTCCATTTTTGATGGGTATTAAAAAATGATAAAAAAGTGAACAGTAGCGCAACACTTCCCCCCGCCCCCAGCTAGAATAAAACCTCACTTCATTGAGACGAGGCTCTGATGTCTCAAGGAATCAACGTTCGATGCCTGCAACTACGGGCAAAGGCGACAGACTCAATGTGGATGTCCACTTTAGATGACGAAGAAATGCAGAAACCTTCACTCCAAAACCATCGGTGATCTACAATTTCCGATGACAAGCCATACCGGCTCACCGACGACTCGGTATGTTTAATTAAAATCGGTAATTTGCACGAAAATGAAAGGAAACATTCACTTGGCCTTCGGGTGTTGTTTGTTACTCTCCACCTTCCTGAACAAATTCGGTGAACAACCACTGAATGTGCGCACACATTGGATGGCCAGATATTAATACATAGTGAGAGCAACAAACAGCTGGAGGCCAAAAAAATGTTTCATAAATTTCCGTGCAAATTTTCATTTCAAATAAATATTTCTAGCATGTCTTATGAAAAAAAAATTAGCATGCAATGGGTTAAAAAGAATGGCTAAAGCGTCGCTCACCTGGCAACGCTGACAAAGCCACAGGAGGCCGTTGCGTGAAGCGGCGTCCAGCCTTCGTTGTCGCCCAGGTTTGGATCGCAGCCGTGCTCCACCAGGAACTCCACCATGGCCATGTTGTCGTCGATACATGCCTGCAAAGACAAGCCACCTTGAAACAGCACGGCCAACGAAACATATTCGGCAAACATCGGTACCGCACCGCAAAAAAGATACCCAAGTTACCACACAACTGATAAATGACTCCGAAGAAAAATAAATAAATAAAGTTTGGGATGTTCTTTTAAGTGCCACACCAACGGAGCAAGAACTGAGGATTGATTTCAACCACTTGGGGATGTGCAAACGAAATCTCAGCCCTCTCCAAAACGAGACGCTGTCAGATTGCGGGTAGTTCGACCGAGGCTTCAAAAAAAAAAATCGAAACGCCAATTGCTCCAACACGGTGGTGCATATGGGAGAACCTGAAGTCTTGGGTTTTATATTCTTTTAAAAATTTAAAAAGGAGTGGGGCCGGGAAGCGAAAGGGGGGGGAGGGGGGGAAGGGGAGAAAATTAAATGTATTGTATATTAAAAAAAAAAGAAGGGTGATTAAGAGTTTTGGGGTTCTACTTTTGGCCAAGAGCAGAAAGAAATTTTATTCACACAACCAAATATTCTCATAGATCATTCATGCATAAAACAGTACTTTGAGTTCACTAGTCACAGCACTGCCATTCAAAACTTGCAGCAAATGATTGACAGACTGCTACAACCCCACCTTGACAAGTGCGTACAATCTGAAAATGCAAAAAAAAAAAAGAAGAGAAAAGCAACTACAAAACAATCAGCATGCCAATTCTAGACATGGAGTAGACGAGGTTAGAACAACCTGAGAACTTTAACCCACAGGAGGTCATTATAAAAAGCGATGCACCAATATTTGTAAACTCAGGAGATAATGCCTAGAATTTTTGCTTGAGAAACCTATACGATACAATACGATACAAAGTTTATTGATTCACCCCACAGACATATGTGGTGAATAAAATGGCGAAAAAAAAAAAAAAGCTGCAGAAATGCAGCTTGGTCGGAGCTCCGGACACCCCATTCAGCATCTGCGACCCAGAGTACACAATAAAATGCGTTCAGTGGAATGTGTGCATCGTTTCGCACATATTAAATAAACAACTTAAGGACACAGTTGTTAGACATTTACACAACATCTATATTTCTATCAAAAATATCATTCAACAAAAAAACAGGCATCAGTTTGTTTTCTCCGCACAATGAAAGTTGCAGAAAAAAAATTGGAGGATGAGGAGCGGCGTTCGCCCCCTCAGCTCGTGGCCAGAACATGGGGCCACGCAATCTGCAGCAGATTATATGCTCCCCATTGTTATCATAGCCACGCGCTGGGGCTGGCAAAGGGCAGGGCACGGGCCGAGTTTTGCACGCCGTTAAGGTTCGGCTATTCCTGTCCCTGCAGCGATCTGGCACAATGCATGTCGAGGCAGTGATTGTCGAATGCCTAAATTGAATGCTCATGCAGTGCTTGTGTCCACTGAATGAGTAGTATTTAAATATTGTCACTGCAAGAATTGCAAAGCTTGGCAATGAAATACTGGGGATCGCATTGTGGACGACGCCAACAAAGTGATCCCCGCAACTTCTTCAAGTTCTGCAAAGGAGAAGTCAAAAGAAAACGCCCGCTTTTATCCTCAAAATTACGCAGCGACAAAGAAGTTCCTCGGGCAGTGGCATTGCGTGTGAATATACTTGGGTCCAATAGTCCCAGTAAGCTGGAGTAAAGTGAGAAACATTCCTACAGGCACAACTGTCAGCCAATCTCCAAGCAAAAAACGTCCGAGAGCAATTTACTTTCCCGTGCAACGCCCAGTTTTTCTTTTGCAACCGAAGCCTTTCCATTTCCCACAAAAGCAGCACGCTTCAAAGCCCCCTACGCAATCAATCCCATAAAAAAAAACAAAAAAAAACCGATGAAAAGGCACAGCGGAACGAGGCCTAATTAATCACTTCCTCCCACGACTACGCCCAGGCCCCCCAAACCCGAGTCGGCGCCGACAGGCGGGAAGACAGCCCGCCAACACAAAACCTCGTCATCGCCTCGTCATTACCGTCATCATCAACTCCAAAAGGAGAACAACGGAAGAAAATGCAAGAAGGAAAAGAGAGATGCCCGATAACAGAACCCAGGTCCCAACCGCAGCACCGTTAACCCCCATGACCCCGGCCCAAAACAACTCCCCTCCCCCCCCAGATAAGAGGGAGAGAAACGGTCGGGGGACGGAAAAGCGGCGGGGCGCCTGTTTACGCGATGCCGCCGCCTCAATCCTTTCGGGATCCTACAAAAACTGCAGCTTCACCGTTCCACGCCGAGAAGGGGGTAAGGAAAAGAGAGAGGGAGGTCTTCCTCCTTTCACGCAGCTTCAGAAAAGGGAACGGCCTAAAATTAACCGATTTGAAAGAAGGCGAGAGAGACAAAGAACAACAGAACCTCCATTGTGTGGGGAACTGCGCTTTTCCCTTCCGCCCGTCTGAGGAACCTCCGTTTTCTCTTTTGTCTTCCCGGTCAGTGTGGCTCATCGAGGAATGCCGAACCGAAAGGATCCGACCCGGGGGTGGGGAGACGGAGAAAACGAGGGGCGAGAGACAGTCGACGGAGGAGTCGGCGAATCTCCCGCGCGGTTCGGACGAGACGACGACACCCCGTGGAAACAACGTGACAATGGTTCACTCGCTTTCCTCGTCGATTTATTTCGGGGGCCTCGAGTCCACTCCGACCTCGCGCTCGATGCCGGAAATAGGTTTGGAGGGCGCGGCCTGGTAAACATAGCCAAATTGTTTTTGGGCGCGGGTTCCCACAGCATCATGCTCAGATTAAACGGACAGCGAGGCTATTGTCCCCCGTTGAGGCGCAGTTCAGGAACAACGGCGGGGAACGACGGAGAAACGAGGAAAGGAGCCTTCCGACGCAGCGATCCGGCAACTCTTCAGTGCGAGCGACTGCGTCACAACTGCTTGTGACCACTTACGACGGGGTAATGCGCTGGCGCCCCTTACTGGGTGGCTCTGCAACTCCTCCGATCTGCACACATTTTTTGTGTACCATTCATTCATCGTGGGCTCGAAATATTTCTGACAGTGTCACGGCGACCACATGTCACAGATGGTGCGTAGATCTGATCTTGCAGATGTTGCAAGACCTTCGGTCTAGTTGGACGGATGGATAAAAGTCAGTGCCACAACCGTACGAATGTGCAGTGGACTGTGGTCTCCAGGGGAGAGAGCGTTGAATGTGCAAGTGTCGCTTTTTTCCGTCGGAGTGGTGGCGGAAAACTGCGGCCCGAGAAACTGCGTTCCTGCATGCGTCTCCCACCTTGGAACAAACTTGGGGCGAAGCTTCATTTGTCGCCATTTGCTGGTGCTGCTATGGCTAAAGACCCGATGCCTCCGCCATGTTGCACACGCTTTCATGAGAAGCCGAAAGATCCATAATAAATTTGGTGCAGGTGCAACGATCCTGAAATACAATAAGTCGCCTTTGGCACACCCCTTTCGGTTAGTTTAACACGTGGTGTGTGTTCAATGGGAGGAAGGTTGGACGATTCACGCTTCGAGTGTCGGCGTTCCATTCCCCGATTTTCTTGTGGGCGCTGCCATTTTGTTGCTCAGTGAAGAGTGGGTCCAATAGGTGACATGCTGTGACACGCATCAAATCCACTTTAACCACGGCGTTTAGTGTGGATTCGTGTGAACTCGTGGCAACACCTCGCACCAAACGATCGCAACGCAAAGCACGTGGGTCGTGTCCGGTTTGCCTAACGTACCGGAGGTTGCGACGACGGGGGATGAGGATTGAGGGAGCCCGATGGCGACGGCGGAGTATGGAAGGCTGCACAAGCCGGGAGCGGGGAGAACAAAGTTTGAAAGTCACCGTAGCCTTTCGCACCTCCACCCCTCTCCCCCATCCTTCAGGCACTTGATTCGACTTACTAGTCTGTATGGAGATCTCAATTCGGCTTGAAAATCTCAAGCCACCCCCATCAAACAGATCGTATCGGACTCGACTCAATGCCCCTAGCTAGCGAATGAAGGCGTGGGGAGATTCAATGCGCTACTGTCACATTCGTGTAAACGCAGCCATAGTTACGATTCTGAAATGTAACTTCCTAAGCGTTAGATACGGTGTGAAGAAGCTTGGGCGACATGGTTCTGCTCTGTCGCAAATTGCTTGAACGTTTCTGGAACCACAGAAGACCATAGTTTCCTACGGTTTCAGGCAGAGCCTCAAATTACTAGCAACACTAATTTTGAGCACCAAGATGTCTGAACTGTCGTTATTCTGATGAACAGCTCACTTCGTGGCCCTCTGCAGTGGCTCATCCCTCTTGCTGTCAGGCGGAGCAGTGTAATTGTGGCACTCGTCCAAAATGATGCAACCAGTCAATGGCAGCCCGCAGCTGCACTTTGTTCACGTCCGAGCGTCTGACAACGAAACAGAAGCTACAAAATTGCCAAAAACTCATCTGTTAACCTTGCGCCACATGACTGATCTTTTTGCTTGAGTAAGCGGTGCGAGAGAAATTGTTCACAATCAGCAAGACCACGGGGTTGGTTGAATAGTGGAGACCCACTGAAATTTTTTACGACCTGCTTGAACAGTTTCTGGTTTTGGGATGTTTTGCTTTTGGGGTACACGCAATTGCCAAGGTATCCAATACGTCAAGTGCACTGAAATCTACGATTTAAAAAAGGAAGAAAAAATGAAAGCCGTTTACAACTCCCTGTAACGCCGAATTAGAGCGCAGCTCTTGAGGAGGAGGAGGGAACGGTACTGAAGTTCACGTGTTCTCGGGGGGGGGGGGGGGGGGGGGGGGGGGGGCACGTGACCTTGGTGGGGTCACATGACCCCCTCCCCAAGGTCACGTGCCCACGGGGGTCACGTGAAACCCAGAGAAAATTTTCCGCTAGATTTAGCGAGGAAATTTTTCCACTAGATTTAGCGGGAAAATTTACCCATAATGCACCGCGCAATTACGCCGCCGGCGCCAGCGACGCCGACGCCGCTCAAGCCAGGAACGGGCACCTCAGAGCTGTGCTCTAAAAAGTCAGTGTGGCTGCAAGTTCCCTT